GGCAGCCCAGCTCCAGGTTGAGCTGTTGTTCAGCATCTTAGCTGTGGAGGGCAGTGTCACTGGCCCTCATATGTGGGATCTGAACCGGGGCCCTCTGGCATCTCAAGCCAGCTCTTAACCAATGCGTCACTTGGCCGGCCCGCGGCACAGATCTTTTATAACAGTTTGTGTATTTGAAAAGAAATTTAGTCAAATAATTTGAGTTAAAACAATCACTTGTGCTGAATTACCCTAGGAGGGAAACGGCTGAGAAAGAAATGTAGAAGACTTTGGAACAGGTACTGGAGTTCAGAATTCTCAACTCACCTAAGTTAGACTTCTAGGCCTTAAGTCACTGTGCCAAAAGGAACGAAAATTTTACGTGGAGGAATGGATTACTCTTGCCTTAGCCTCAACTCCTGTCTTTTCTTTCCTTTTGCTGCTTCATCTTGGTGAAACACCAGCGCACTCTTCGTCCTTGCCTCCTCCGTGACTGGGAGGCACGGACTGCTGAGCGCTGCCGGGGTTCCTGTAGCACCTCCTGACAGCTGTGCCCCCGCGTCTGCCTCCAGCCCCATTCCCAGGCACCAGAATGGTCTTTCTATAGCGAGTCTGATTGTGTTAGTCCTCTCTGTGAAATCCTTCATGGACTTTCATAGTCTTCAGGATTCACAATCCAAGTTCCTTAGTGTGGAAGATAACTGTTAGAGACCTGGCCTCCTCTTAACCCATCGCCTACCTGATCTTCTGACTCTTTTCTACGTGTTTCCTGGACTCCAGACATGTTAACCAGCTGGATTTCTCTGAATGGTCCATGTTTTCATGCCACTGAGCATATGGTGTTTCCTTTTCCAGGCATGCTTTTTTCTCTCCTTCCCAGTGTCATCAACTACAGGTCGTTTAAAACTCCCTGAAGTGACTTCTAGAGAACTTCTGACTTTTCTTCCTCCGTCTGAATTAGGTGCCCTTCCTCCATGCCTTCACAACACCGTACAATCTGCTAACCATGTTCTCCGTGGTCCCTAATCCAGTATATTATCCACTGGCCTTCTTTCTCACCAGACTGGGAGCTTGCTTTTGAGCACAGGATACTCTTATTATCTCTTTAGTTCCAGATGCTTGTCACTGGTTTGCACAGTATGGATGGACGCCTAGAACTTTAGTTAATGGATGATAGTTAATTTTTCAGAGGCCGCAGATGTGTCCAGCTGTGTCAACATGTGAGAAAAGGAGAAGATGGTCCCGGCCCTGTTTATAAGCTTAATTGTGTGGACGAAGTGATTCATAAAGTAATTAGAGACTAAAAAAGTACAACATTAAATGAGGACTTGAGGTAGAGTGGTTTGAGAATAAAGATATAATTGAAAATTTCAAATCCCTTGTCATTTTATATCTGCTCTTTACTCTGTTTTTCCCCTTAATATTTACCACTCCTAGCATGTTATACTTTTTACTTGTTTATCTTGTTAATTCTTATCTGTCCCACTAGGATGTAAGTTTTATGAGGAATTTCTGTCTCTCTTGTTCACTATGGTATTTCCAGTGTCTGACAAATGGTACGTACTCAGCAGATATTTATTGAACAGATGGAATGGTGTTCAGAGAAGGAAGTAATCAGTAGGAGATGGTACTTATGAAATACTTCATGAAGTTACATCCTGAAGCAGACCTTGAAAGAGACTGTTTTATTAAATAAGTTTATTAAATAAGTTGTGTTTATTAAATAAGTTTATTTAAGTAAAAAATTACCAATTTTACTTTTATATGAATTTTTTCAGGTCATATGTTCCTCCTAATTTTCTCTTAAAATTTTATAAGGTTTGTGCAGCCATCACTGTTGACTTCTCTTAGAGTTTGACACAAAGCCTATTGAACCAGAGTGAGTGGTGTGACCCTTTCATCATATAATTGTTGCAATAACACTTTCACTTTATTTTTATTAGCAAAATATGGGTAAAAATAGGTCTGCTGGAGGTAATAACACGATGTATACAGATCTTCATACCACATGTTGTTATGATACCTGAGAGTTTATCTTTTACTTTGCATCCATTTAAAATAATTACAAATTAATTTGAACTCTTAGCCATATCAGGATTCTTGTTGTTTTGTGAATTAGAGATCATAATTGACCATTTGTCTATAGGTTCTTACATTTTAGCAAACCTTAATCAGAGTTTTAAATATTTACATGCATATGTAAACATATGTCACATAACTTATTTTTCCATTTTTATAGTTTCCTTTTCTGTTTATTTCCTTTCCAAGACTAAAGAAATTAAAATTAGATTTGGAATTAAAACTATTAAAAATGTTAAATAACTAAAATAGGCTATAACTGGTGGTATTGGTTAATGTTATTTTTTAGAAAATAAAATTATTAGTTGGTCTCCAGTACTAGTTTCTTTTTTTGCAATTTTTTTCCCCCTAAGCACAGAATTAGATATTCTTAGGCTATTATAGCTGAAGTAGAACTTAGTAAGCGTCTTGTCTATTTAGTAAGCATCTAGTCTACTTACATCATTTTAGAAGTGACGTAACTAAAATACAGGCACAAGTGATTTGACCCGTAAGACAGTTAATTCATAACAGGGCCAAAACGATAAACTAGATTTTTAACTGTTATTGAACAGATAACCAAACTGGCTAACCCCCTCTGTTACGCTAATACCTTCTTTAAAATTTCAGGCTGTCCTATTTCTAGGCTTAAATATGACTCTGATGACAGTTTAAAAGAATATTATTTTAGTGACCTGGTAGAATAAAAGCAAGTTGCTGAAATTTGTCAATCTACCAGATAGCCAGATTGGGTGCAAGAGGTTTTGGCAGTACTTCTATTTTCCTAACTTTCACATGTTTTATTGAGTATTCTTTCTTTAAAATTATTTATTTTTTTCAGTTAGAGTTGACATTCAATATTATTTATATTAGTTTTAGGTATACATCATAATGGTTAGACATTTATATAATTTATAAATCATTTATAAATTATATAAATGTCTAACCATTTATATAGCGACCCCTCCCCTCCCATTAGTCTGTTACCCACCTGGCACTGTACATAGCTATTGCAGTATTACTGACTATGTTCTCTATGCTGTACTTGACATTCCCGTAACACTTTTGTAGCTACCAATTTGTTTTTCTTAATCCCTTCGCCTCTTTTTCCATTTTGGGATAAAGGCTGTTTACTGGTTGAGTCTGCAGGAGGTAATTTTTAATGAATCTGATTTAAAGCCATGAAAAACCTCATGTTCTCTCTCTCTTTCTCTCTCTCTCTTTTTTTTTTTTTAAGATTTTATTGGAGATTGGGGAAGGGGAACAACCAAGTTGTTTTCCTTCAATCTTAGTTGTGGAGGGTGCAGCTAACTCAGCTCCAAGTCCAGTCGCCATCTGGCCTCCCGTCGGCAGCTCGCGGCCGCTCAGCTCAAGGTGCCTTGTTCAGTCTTAGTTGCAGGTGGGCATAGCCCACCATCCCATGTGGGATTCGAACCGGAAACCTTGTTGCTAAGAGCTCACGCTCTAACCACTGAACCATCGGCCACCTGTCGGCAGCTTAGGGCAGCTCAGCTCAAGGTGCTGTGTTCAGTCTTAGTTGCGGGTGGGCATAGCCCACCATCCCATGCGGGAGTCGAACTGGCAACCTTGTTAGGAGCACGTGTTGTCACCAGCTGAGCCATCCTGACACCTGTTGGCAGCTCAGCAGCATCTCAGCTCAGGTGCAGCTCACTGGCCCATGCGGAAATCGAACCTGCAACCCTGTTGCTCAGAGCTCACGCTCTTAACCAACTGTGACACTGGGCCGGCCCTTATATTCTCTCAAGTGTTCATTTTTGACAAGCTGAATGTAAGGATTCACACATTTTCCATAGGAAGATTTAACCAATAAATGTGTATTAAGGAAAACATGAGGAACACAATTTTTAAAAATTCAGTCATTCTTTGTCTTTTGGCTTTTCCTTTTTTTTTTTTAAAGATTTTATTGGGGCTTTGGGGGGAGGGGAACAGCATTGGGGAATCGGGGAAGGGGAACAGACAGGTAGACAAATTGCTGTTTTTCTTCAGTCTAGTTGTGGAGGACATCGCTTCACTGGCCCATGTTGGTATGATCATTGTGCTCTTCCCAGGTGAGGCAGTCAGTCGCCGGTCATTGGTTGGCCGTTCACAGCGGCTCCCGGCAGCTCACACTGGCTACCAGCCACTCACATAGCTCACAGCAGTCCACTGCAGCCTATGCCGTCAGCGGCGACTCACGGCAGCCCAGCTCCAGGTTGAGCTGTTGTTCACCATCTTAGCTGTAGAGGGCGAGCGTCACTGGCCCTCAATATGGGATCCGAACCGCAGCCCTGCTGCTCAGAGCTGGCGTCCTGAGCGAGCTCTTAACCAGCTGAGCCACTTGGCGGCCAGCGCTGGCTTTTCCTTGTTGAATCTAAGAAGTTACATATTTTAGAAAGTCATACTGTTGACTTTTGGATTCCAAGAGTCAATTTGACTCTTGGATTCTCTTAAATAGAAAAATGAAAAAAAAATTTTTTTCAGGATTATGTGAATACATTTTATTTTCTTGTATTATTTCTGATATTTCCCCAGGGCTTACATTTTAATTACATTGGATTACACAAAAAATAGCACCCTGTGTTCTGTGATTTTTAGTTGTTTCCTCTTTTTTAAAAGAAGAATTCATTTTGTGTGTGTGTGTGTGGGGGGGAATAATTGGTAAATATAATGGGTTGCATAAGAAGAAAATGGTTAAAAATGTGGAAGAATGCGGAGAACCTGAAGTGAATACTACTGTAACTCCTGGGTGTAGTTGCCTAATATCAATTAAATTGAATTATTTATTTTTAGTTGTGTTCATATATTATACTTTTGATGTAAAGAATACTCTACTAGACTTTTAAAAGCCTCTTCGTTTGACTTAAGTCTTAAATTTAATTCATTGGGTTTTTATAAAATTATACTCTAACTGTAGCCTGTGTTTTGGTATGGGGAGTTGGTAATTGCCCTTTGTTCTATTTCAGATCCCTGTATGTCACTGAGTCCACCATGCTTCACGGAAGAAGATAGATTTAGTCTGGAAGCTCTTCAAACAATACATAAACAAATGGATGATGACAAAGATGGTGGAATTGAAGTGGATGAAAGTGATGAAGTAGGTGGAAAACCTTTTTCCCTGGTATTCTCATAAAACACAGTGACTGGAGTTTTAGTCTTAAATTTTCCCATTATTCCTCATATGACTCAACTTCTTCAACGTCTTTAGTGTTTCTCTTTACTTTTTAATTTTACCCTTTGTATTTATGTGTTTTTTCTTTTTCTTTTTCCTTCCATGTGCTTACCAAGTCTTCCCAGTTTTATATGAATCCTTAGTCTCATGTTCTTGGGTTTCTCAAACATATATGCTCTTCTCACTCTGTCAGTTACTTATTGCTACCTTACAAACCACCACACTCGAATGGCTTAAAATGACAATGTGTATTATTTCTTCTGATTCTCTGAGTTGACAGGGCTCAGCTGGGCACCTTTTCTGTTCCCCTGGGTATGGACCAAGGTCGTGTGGCAGCTCCATTCAGTTGGGCACTCTGCCGGGGCTGCAGTACCTAAGATGACCTCTGATCCTGGAGAACCTCTCTCCATGGGGCCTCCTGTCATTTGGGAGTCTAACTCAAGCTCCCTTACAGCATGGCAGCTGGCGCCCAGATGACAGTATTCCCAGAAAACAAGTTCCCATGTGAAAGTGCTTATCACGCTCTGCTCGCCAATGCCTGTTGATATCCAGTTGGCTAAGGCGAGTTTTGGCTAAGCTCGGAGTCCATGTGGGAGAGGATTACACAAGAGCATGAATTCCAGGAGATGCGGTTTATTGAGGGTCACCTAATGTAATAATCGACTGTACTTACTGTAAATACATAAGGCTTTATTTCTTAAGCATTCTCACCTTCCCCCGATCTGCTGTTTCTCTGAGTGCCTCTGTAGAAGTTGTTTCTTTATTCGGCTATGGCCTCATTCTAACCAAATCCCTTGGTCATTTTTCAGGCCTCTTCAACCTCTTTGTTGTAAATGTCACTGTTGAGATGCTTCTCTTTTAGTTTATATGATACTGGGTTACGTTATTTTCTGCATTATTATCTACTGTTACAGAACAGTGACATCCTCTAATCATATTGTTATTTAATCATATTGTTATCAAACAGTAATGTTCTCTAAGGATGGGTTCTTTACCTGCTGTATAAAGCATTTACCCTGAGAATGGTCATTCATTTTTAGGTTACTGCTGATTCCTCCAGCTCTAAGCCAGTCCGGATCCCTGACTTAAGTGTATTGTTTTCTGCCTGGCATCTTTTGAGGGCTCTTTTGGTTTCAACTCAGTTTGTCTAAAACAAAATCCCAGCTCTCCTCTTTGAAACCCCTCACTGTTGAATGATACTTCCGGACCTACTTCTCAATTCTTTTTCTTCTAAATCAGGAATTGGCAGACATTTTCTGTAAAGGGCCAAGTTGCAGCTTGAAATGTGTACCCTCCAAAAAACATATTGTGAAGTCCTAACCCCCATTATCTCAGAATGTGACCTCTCTTGGAAATAGGGTCATTTCAGATGTAATTAGTTACAATGAGGATATACTGGAATAGCTTGGGCCCTTACTCCAAAGTGATTGGTGTCCTTATAAGAGACGAGAATGCCATGTGGAGACACAGACACAGGGGAGATGACTCTGTGACTGTGGAGGAAGAGATTGGAGTAATACAGCCCCAAGTCTAGGAATAACCAGGTTCGCCGGTAACGAAAGCCATGGGCAGATTCTTCCCTGGGGCCTTCAACAGTGCACGGCCTTGCTGACACCTTGATTTCAGACATCCATCCTCTAGAACTGTGAGAAAATACATTTCTGTTGTTTTAAGTCATCCAGTTTGTGGCACTTTGCTGCAGCAGCCCTAGGAAACTAGTACAGGCAAGCTACTAAATATTTTGGATTTTGTGGGCCTCATGGTGTTTGTCGGAACTGCTCAGCTCCCCCATTGTACTGCCAAGCAGCCGTGACAGTAAGCGCATGAACTGACGGGCAGGGCTGCATTCCAGTAAAACCCGACGTGCAAAAACAAGCCAGTAGGCTTAGTTTGCCAGCCCCCTGCTGTAAATAAAATCTTGTGCTCTTAAAATCCATTTCGTTTTCTTCCTTTCTCACTTATCTATTCTCATTATTTGCTTGCTGTATTTTCATGTAGGTATCTTGTGCCTAGATCATCACCTCTAAGATTTTCTTCTCTAGTCCATCATGAATCTCACTTTGAGAGTGTTTTTCTCTAGCTAAGAAACTTAACAGTGATTTTTTTATTACTAATTATTAGATCCATCTTACATTTACTGTCTCTGCATTAACTGACTTCTGCTTCTTTTGACATTGTGGTTAAATCGTTTTAGCTAGAGTGCAGTGCTATTAATATCAAAATCATGGCTTTTAGTTCTAAATACTTCAATTTATTTCATACATTTGTGGAACCACAGTCGATAGGATAATCCTAACTTATACTGTGTGTCTAATTTACAAAAGGATTTGAAGTATGTAAATATATTCTGTTTGTCATAGGCAGAATGAGTGAAATGAAATTGATGGATTATTGAGTTTTGCTATTACTGGAAACCAGAAAGTAGTTGTCATTTATCGTGAGTCATTTTATTATACTGAGTAATTCATTCAACGTCATCACCATTCTGTCTCTGTTTACAAACACACACACACAATGAAACTATAAGATTACTTTTAGTAATAATACTTGGAGTTATTAGCGATGAGTTGTTCTAAGTGGTCTATTTAGTTGCCAATATAATTGCTTAAGAATTTGAATGTCAAATATACTAACATAAATTCTATTTGCTCCATAAATTATTGCTATTCATATAAGTTATAGAATAAATAGAATTTATGCTGGCATATTTGATACTTTATTTATAGAGGAAATTATTTTCTAGGCTAAATAGCTTTCCTAAAATTACTGTTGTACATTTTCTTAGTCATTTACAGTATAATATATTAGCTTTTATCAAATTCCATGCCAGCTCTGAACTGTATAGTGTTTAGTGTATGACCGGCTGTGCAGTTTTATAATTACGTTCAGCAATTAAATTGGAGTTAATTTTTAACGTTAAACTTTGTGGTACTGTGTTGAAAGGACATAATTTTAAGTTGTTACACTGATGGTGCTCCTTTTTCCTTTGATTTTGGTATTGAGGACCTAATCGTTGCTTAGCTGGCATTGTTTTAGGTTAAGAGACATACTGATGCTGAGGGGTCGTTTTGTAGGGAGGGAGAGATGGGACTGGGAGACCATATACGGTTAAGTTTAAGAACCTTAGTATTATAAAATGCTTGAAAAGATTGGTGTACAGTTTCACTTTTAAAGCTGGAGTAGTTTTAGATAGTCACATTTCAGAAGTTAAAAATTAACTTACTGAGATTGGTTAATTTTGTGCCTAGAATTAGGCTAGATTCTTTATTTTAAAAATCTTCGTAATAAAACTACTTTTATCTCTGACATATGAAGTTATAAATATTACTATTCTGGGGTGTTTTTCGACACCAGTCAATTCTTCATTTCTCCTACACCAACTGGGTGTCCAACAATTGAATTAAACTCTGACACTGTCTACCTGGAGTGATGTCACATCCCACAGGTTAAAGGACTTAGTCCCACAAGACTGCCCCCCACTTTGCCTGCCAGTCATAGGTTTCAGGCCATGGTTGTGACTGACCTGACCTCAACCACATTTCCCACAGCCCCCTTGTCAGGCTTGATAATTTAATGGAATGGCTCACAGAACTCAGTAAAACCCTTTGCTTATGGTTTACTGGTTTCTTACGAAGGATACTACTCCGGAACAGCCAATGGGAGAGATGAACAGGACAAGGCATGGAAGGAGGGTGGGCGTGGCACCCCCACGCCCTCTCTGGGTTTGCCTCCCTCCCTCCTAGCACCTCCCACCACCTCAGTGTGTTCCCAACCTGGAAGTGCTCTGAATCTCAAAGTTCAAGAGGTTTTTTTTTTTTGTTTTTTTTAAATGAAGCTCAGTTTCCCCAGAGGTCAGGTGGGTGGGACTGAATGTTCCAACCTCTTTGTGGTGACCAGTCTCTTCCTGAGGCTCTTAGGCGACCAACCCTAAGTCATCTTATTAGCATGAGCTCAGGTGTGATTGAAGGGGCAAAAGACACTCCTATCACTCAGGAAATTTCAAGAGTTTTAAGAGCTCTGTGCTAGGGACCAGGGACAAAGACCAAATATATTTCTTATTATATCACAATTACATAAATATTTAAATCTGAAAGAAATAGCAAAAATTCACATTTTCTTAATCATTAAAAATACCTTCTAAGGAAAGATGTTAAAATTGTGTATAATATAGAGAGGTAATAGTAAGCTTATATGCAGATATTTGACAGCCTATTTAATGTATTTGATTACATAAGAGTCCCTAGAATTACAAGTTATTTTAATCTTTTTACCTCACCATCAGATACTAAATGCTCAAATGTGTGAACTCTTATCCTCATCACTTGCCAAACAAAGTAAGCATGCATGGCTGTATAATTTATACTTCAATGGAATTCTTATCGAGTCTTTTAAATTTCAGTGGAATTCTAAACATTTGTAATAAAAGTTAGAACTAAAAACTTTATGTTAAAAAGTATATTAAAAGAACTTAGAATTCTATCAGTATGATAGGTGAACTTTATTTAAAAACGTATCTTTTTCTCTGTATTCTAATAATAATATTTAAAACCAGATGTAGTTACCTTAATATTTTATTAGTACCTAAAAGAATCTAGAAATCCACTGTCCAGTATGGTAGCTACTAGCCCCATTTAGCTATTGACCAATTAAAACTGAGGTGCGTTATGAGTGTAAAGTGCGCTTCAAATTTTGAAGATTTATATGAGAAAAATAATGTAAAATATCTACCATATTTTGCTGTGTATAACGCGCTTCTGTGTATAATGTGCACCCACGTTTTTGGCCCAAACTTTCTGGGGAAAAAAATCTTTTAATTGTTTAATTCAGATTTTTAATTTGTTTACATTTAGGTACTTGTTTTTTGTATTCTAAAGGAATTTTAGCATTGATTACATGTAGGAAATGAGTTTATTATGGACTTACTG